CCTGGTAGTTTAATCAGTGTGTTTCATCGCATGTACTCGGACCATGCAGTTTGCAACTTTTCCATTCTCCTCGTTTAATTTCACATCATCCGATGGTCAGCTTGCTGACCATCCTATCGTTCAAGCCATCTTTAGTAAAAGGATTACCAGCTCAACGGTTCTACCAAAAGAAGCACTTGATAAAGTGCATGGTATGAATAAAACGAATGGACCAAATTCTTCTTCCGTTGACGAATAAAACTGAAAAACCGGTGCCGCGATCTCCAATTCATGGGCTAGTTCACACTTTTTTGCTCTGACAAAAATGAAACATTATTGAACAATCGTCAAAAGAAATTGCCAGTGACTTTCCCATATATACTCCAATGAAAAACGGTCTTTTCAATGAGAAACAAACACGTTTTGGAACTTTCTGCAGTGTTCGAAGACATCAGTTCTCGACATTTGATGAGGCTTTAGCCGTCTCGAAATGCAATTTTATTGAGCATTACCGTCTTAGATGCTGTAGCTCTTAGATAACGATGAGATACCTCACCAATTAGGTGCTTGTAGCTAATAAACATTATAAGCATGTAATGAGGAACAGTCTACTGATCCGTAGCGTTACACTTCCCAACTTTTTAGCTTAAAAAAATTTAAAAAAAAATGATGGAGGAAGTGATTCGTCATGTGATAAATCACTTCCTCCATCATTTATTGTTTCTTTTCCGATCGTAATGACCAAGATGCTCAGAAATCAGCAATTTTATCTGTCTTATCAATACAATGTCAGTGGACTGATTGGTTTGGAAAATCGAGACACGAATGAGAGTATCTTCGACACAATTGGAATCAATTGGAATCTCGAGTCAAAAATGAATACTTTCCTTGTTTTTTTTTTGTCTCGTGCCATGAATGAGCACGTTTTCCGTTGTTGGAATCTCGAATCATGAATATTTTCTCTATTACTGAATTCTTGGGTTATAATGAGTCCCCTCCTCGTCGCTGAAACCTCGAGCCATAATTTTTTTATTAAAACTCTCATGAGCGAGTACTGGATCCTCGAATCATTACTAGTATCTTTTCTATTGCCAGAACCTGGAATCACAGATGTGTACCTTCCACACTATAGGCATTTCAAGTGCTATTTGCCTGCCATCTCTTTCAGGAGTAAAATGTGCAGGTGGTTTTGCGCTAAAAATAAGTTGATTCCTCAATTCCAGCGCTTGTATGCGTGTGTTTCATTCGCATTAGAAGTGT